GTATTTGGGGGGTCTTCTGTGGAGAATCATACATCTACAAATAATAATTTGATTTCTTTCTCTCCTACACATATCCCTTTTATTTGATTTTCTTGCCTAATTGCCACTACTAATGTTTCCAGTATTATGCTGAATAGGGTTAGTAATAGGGCATCAGCAGTATCACTAATAGGATTAGTGATAGGGTATCCTTATCTTGCTCCTGATATTAAAGATGGGTATCAGCAGTATCACTAATAGGATTAGGGATCTGACAGGGTATCCTTATCTTGCTCCTGGTATTACAGATAGGGTATCACCAGTATCACTAACAGGACTAGTGATAGGGTATCCTTATCGTGCTCCTGATATTAAAGAGAAAGCTTCCATTTCTCCCCTTTTAATATGGTGTTGGCAGTGGGCAGTTGGTTGGTCAGATTAAGATAAGGTCCTTCTATTCCTTTTTCTTTAGTGTTTTTTTTTTTTTAATCATGAAAGTTTGTTGGATTTTGCCAAAGTGTTTTTCTGCCTGTATTAAGATGATTATGTGAGTTTTGTCCTTGATTCTAGTTTTGTGATGTATTGCACTTATTGATTTGTGTATGGTGAACCCTGCTTGCATCCCTGGGACAAAGCCCAGTTAGTTGGTCAGATGCATGACCTTTTTGATGATGTATTGTTTTCTGCTTGCCAGTATCTTGTTGAGAATTTTAAAATCTGTGTTTCTTGAACAGATTGGCCTGTAGTTCTCTTTTTTGGTTGGACACTTGTCTGGTTTTGGAAACAGGGTAATGCTAGATTCCAAAAATGACCTGGGGAGTACTTCTCCCCTTATAGTTTCATTAAAGACACTGAGGAGTATTGATCTTCTCTGAAGTTTTTGTTGAATTTATCAGTAAATCCACTTGGACTTAGGCTTTTCTCACTTTTTTATTGCTGCTTCAATATCATTGCCCAATACGATTATTCAATTTTAAGATTTTTTTGTTTCAGTTTTGGATGCCTAAGAATCTACCATTCCTTCTGAATTTCTCAATTCATTACACACAAATTGGCAAAATAGTTGTTAAATATCTTTTTTATTTTGGCACTATCTATTGTGATTTCATTTTTTCCATTTCTGCTTGCATTGATTTGGTTCTTTCTCCCCTTTTTTGGTTAGATTGACTGAGGGTTTGTCTATTTTGTTTAGTCTTCTGAAAAGCCAATTTTGATTCGTTGTAATTTTTTTTCTGGTCTCAATTTGATTGATTTCTGCTCTATCTTAATATCCTTCCTTTACTAGCTTTGGGTTTGGATGGCTCGTTTTTCTAGGATCTTGGGGTGATTGGAGGTTATTTATTTGGCCCATTCTGTTTTTGCCATGTTTGGCATTCACAGCTACAAACTTCTCTCTTAGGACTGCTCTAATTGTGTCCCATAAGTTCTGGTATGTTATACTAGTACTACCAATTTAGTTTCACAAATTGTCTTATTCACTCCCTGATCTTTTCCGTAACCCATTGTTTAAGAGTATATTGTTTAGTTTCCATGCATTTGGGTAATTTCTTTGCTTCCTTTTCCCATTGATTTCTAGTTTAATTGTGATATCGTCCCAATATGTATATTTCCAATTCTGTTATGTTTGCTTAAGCTTACTTTCTTGCCTACTGTGTACTCTACTTTGGAGAAAGTTCCATGTGTTCATGAGAATATGTAATTGAGTGTTGTTGGGTGGAAGACTCTGTAGGTGTTTATTAAGTCCATATCTTCAAAGGTTTTGTTCACCTAGGATATTTCTTCATTGATTTTTTTGTCTAGTGAATGTGTCTACTTGTGAGAGTTGGATATTAAAGTCCTTGCTATAATTGTTTTTATTCTTATCTGGTCTTTAATAATCAGTAATATTAGTTTTATGAAGTTGTCCATTCCATCATTTGGTGTACACGTTAATAATTGTTTTCTCTTCCTGTTGGAGTGTTCCCTTAACCAATACATAGTGACCTTTTTTTGGCACTTTTGATCAGTTTTGGCTTCACATCCACTTTGTCTAAACACAGAATAGCTACACCGGCTTTTTTCTCAGGTTCCCATTGCAGGGAATATTATTTTTCATTCTTTGACTTTTAGTCTGTGAGTTACTTTTAGGGTTAAATGTCTTCCTTGTACATACCATTTAGTTTTTTTTTTTTTTTTTTAATCTCTTCTACCAGTCCTTGTCTTTGATTGGGGAACTGAAATAATCCACGTTAAGAGTTGTTACTGAGACACATTGGTTATTCCCGTCATTGCCTCATTTTCCTGTTGCTGATTTCCTACCTTTCCCTTCTATTTAACTACTCACCCATTCTATTAGGCCTTTTGTCATTGTTAGCTTCATGTCTATTTCCAGGGTATCACTGAGAATTTTTTAGAGTGCTGGTGTAGTGGTCATGAATGTTTTTAGGTGCTCTGTATCATAAGAACATCTTAGTTCTCAAGCAATTTTGAAAGATAGTTTTGTGGGATGTATCAGTCTGCATTCGAAACTTTTATTGTAGGGCTTGAGACACTACTCCAAGCTCTCCTTGTCTTTACTGTTTATGTTGTGAAATCTGCTATAATTGTAATGTATATAGATGATTTGTTGGTTTTCTCTAATCATTTTTAAGATTCTGTTCTTGTGCAGTACATCAAGAATTTTGACTATCATGTGAAGAGGTTTTTGTCTGATCATGGCTATTTGGGGTTCTATATGCCTGCTCACTGTATGTTAAATTCTTTCCATTATCTGGAATGTTTTCTGCTGTTATTTCAGTAAACAGTTTTTTGTGCCCTTTGTGCTGTTTTGTTTTTCCACTAATTTCAATTAATTTTAGATTAGTCTGTCATCACTTCGGAGCTGCTGGATCCATTTTTTATGCTGCTTCTTTGTTTTTAGGGTATCACTCACTGGTCGCTGACAACTGCTATGTCTTCTAGTTTTGACACACCGTCACTTCTGCTGCCATACTTTCAACAGAATTTCTAAGCTATTTGAATTTGTATTTTTAGTAACTTATGGACTTCAATCTTTTTCTATGCTTGTCAGTCATATTTTGCATCACTTTGTTCAGCTTTGCTAAGTTTTCATTCATGCTTTCTGCAGTTTCACAGTTGCTTTATTTGGCTAAATATCTGTTTACTTGTATCTGCTGTGAGCTTGTCAAGTGCCTCACTGTTTTATCTCCTGTGATATAATTTTGAGTAATTCAAGTGTGTGGCTTTCAGTTTCCTCCCTTTGGTGGTCCATGGATCAGCTTCAGGCAAGTGGGGCTTGTGGGGAGGCATTTTAATACGTTTTCTCTTCAAATCCCAGTATCTGGGTGGTTTTTAGATATCAGGGCTTGTGGGCTGATTGTAGTGGAAAGCTCTGTTTCTAGCATTGAGACCCCTAGTTAATAACTATTTTTAGGTAGTGTCCTCTGGGTATGCTTAACTATTGGCCTTTGCTCTCCTTGCAGGATCCAACTACCTGCGTTTACTTGGGATGGGAGTGTATTTGTCCCAGTGCCCAGTACTCCAGGAACCAACCTGTCTTGTTAATTACCCCAAGGCAATCCAGATACTGGCAACCCAAGAAAGACAATTCAAAGCAACAGCTATGTTACTTTGGCTACCATAATAAAATTAGCATCAATTGTAGCACCAAAGACAACCTGAATATTGACAAACCCTGAAGACCAATATACTACCCTTACCTACAGAAAAGAGATCTGCAATTATAGTATGAACACTAGGACCAATCAAGTATTGTCCTACCATTCAGATTCAGTGAATATCTATTCTATGGAACAACTTTACCTCTACCAACATTAGAATAGCATTCAACAGCAACACTGTAGGGTTAACTAGGCATCTAGAGACTCCTAACTCTTAGCAGTGGTACTAGAAGAGTAGAGGTTTGGGGAAGCAGAGAATGATGAAAGGTAAAACTTGAGAAATTATTCAATTGCATATGAAGAGAAGAGTGAGGAAGGGGGTCCTAGTGAGGAGTGAAAGGAAATTAATAATGTTAGAGAAGCTGCAGGAAAGAATGAACGAGAAGTAGAAAGACAAAGAGCAAAATACAAGAATAAAAGAGAGAGAAAAAGAAAGAGAAAAGCAGTTTGAAATGGGAAAGCTGAGGAGAGAAAAGAAACTGAAAGGGAAAAAAGAGAAAAAGTCCCAAATCCCCCCATACTCTCCCCAAATCCCCCCATACTCTCCCCAAATCCCCCCATACTCTCAGGAATGCAAAATAAAAATAAGAAAAATATAATTTTAAAACCTGTGTCATAGCAAAAATTCATTCGGTTTTTAATTTAGAATTGGAGGGCCGGGGATACAGCTCAGTGGTGCAAGCACCTGCCTGACAAGCACAATGTCCTGAGTTTGATTTCTAGTACCAAAAAAAATATAACTGGTATGGGGAAAAGGAGAAAAGAAAGGAAAAGAAATACATATATCTATAAATACAGATATAGATACAGATAGAGGGAGAGGGAGAGGGAGAGGGAGAAGGTGCATGCTAATTATACTACTAATTTGTATTAGTTCACTGAAAAGAAAGGTTTCTCATTTTTTGATCAATTTTAATATCTATATCTTGTAATCTGAGCAACTACTTTCAAGGTAACAATATGTAGTGTACTAACCACTGCTAACCTCCTACCATCCTGTTTTAAAATTTTGTATCTTTTTATTGTTTTTTCTCTAAAAAAAATTCCTGCATTTTTTTACAAAGATAATGTTTTTATTTTTCAACATGCATACAAGTTAACAACTATTTATGCTACGTAAGAACACAGAAATAATTTTTTTATTACAAAAATGTCCAATTATCAAGTACAACAACAAGTTGGCAATTACTTTACTTTTGGAGGTTATTTTCACAGAACACAACAATTTCCAAATTATACTTTCAAGACCACATTTATGAGACCAGGACAAGCTGATAACAAACTTAACAGTCACACAACCTGCTATATTACACAGGGCGGGAAAAAAAATGATTCTATGGTGAAGGGTCTCAAGTAACTTACATTGGAATTCTTTTTTCTTCCTTCCTTTTTTGGAGACAGGGTCTCACTGTGTAGTACAGGCTGACCTTGAACTCTTACATAGCGCAGGCTGGTCTCCAACTCACAGCAATCCTCCTGCCTCAGCCTCCCTAGTGCTGCAATTACAGGCATGCACCACCACACCCAGATACATCACAATCTGTAAAGTAGTTTTATAACAGAACAGTCTCTCCTTTTCAGTATGTAAAGGAGACAGAGCACCCCTTCATCAGTGAGTTTCCTTATGAATTCTAAAGACTCCAAGGCCCATTTTTGGGACTTCATTAGTTAACACTGAAAGCAAAAAGCACACTTGATAATGACAGTATCCCCACGACTATCACCACCAGAGTCCCTATCCCTCAAAGTAGCCCAGCTGGACTTTCAATAAACAACACAGGGGCTGGGGATTTAGCTCAGCGGCAAAAGCGCCTGCCTGGCAAGCGCAAGGTCGTGAGTTCGGTTCCCGGTACCGGAGAAAAACCAAAAA